TGCAGCTGAGGGTGAGGCACCACAACTGAGACTCAGGGTGCCTTTTATCCCTCAAGCTGCAGCCCAAACCCCAAGATGAGCTGCGCAGAAAACAAAACACTGTGGATTTACCTGCGGATTTCCCAAATTGGTTGATCAGCAGCCCCTCCAAAAGCGCTATTGCTGTGCCCCATGAAACTGCACAGCTAGCAAAAACAATTGGTCTCACTTTTCAGCAGTCAACCGTGCCAACTCATTCAGCACACGCATGCCATTGTACTTGAGGATCGCAAACTCCTGTTCGATATCAGCATTGCTTTTGCACACATTCTCCATGTTGTTCATCACCATGTGGTCGACCATCAAAGCCTCAGTCTGGGGAAGTGACAAAGGTAAACAATTGTGGAAAACACGCAGTGAGGTTTGTAAAGCGAATGAAACCAGTCATTGCCCAAACATAAGCATAGAAACATACATCTCCGCCGCTTTGATTGCACAAGCCAAACGGGCCACATCACTGACACAGTCGTTGGTGAAAGAAAACAACTGGGTGAAGGCTTTTCCATCCGAAACAGCATCACTGTTCACTTTCATTCCACAGGTGTGTTTCTTCCAGTAGATGTCGAGGGAGCAGTTCCACAACGGTGTTAAGTGGTACTTGGCCTTTTTCTTGAAGGCTTCATCAACCTGTGTGTCTTTCTTGAAATGCCCAACATACTCATGAATCTTTTGGAAGCGATCCTTCCTGAACAGGTCCTTCCTGTCCAGGCCAGGCTCCTCTGTGCCTGCCTTGCGTCTCTTCCTAGTGCTTGCCTTGTTGTCAGCAGCCTCTGTAGCCTTCTGCTTGTTGGTTTGGTTGGCCTTTGCTTTTGCTTTTCCATTGGTCTTGGACTGCGTGCCACCCGTCTCTGTTGGAACTGCTTGTCTTCGTGGCTTGGGCGCAGACTTTGCAGCAGTTGCAGTTTTCCGGGATTTCTTTCTCTCCTCAGATTCAGGCACTCCTTCGCCTGAGCTTTTGGTCTCTCTGGACTTGGAGGCTGAGCGCAGAATTTGGCGCCGTCGAGACGCCGATGTCTTCGCTGGGCTCTTCTTCACCTTTCCCCCTTTCCCCTTTGCCGTTTTCCCTTTTCCATTTTTCCTATGTTTTTTTGTCTTTCCCTTGCCAGCTTTTCGGGACTTCTTTTTTTTTCCCTCTTCTTTTTTGTCAGCGGTGTCGTCTTTCCTTTTCTGCTTTGCTTTCAATTGCTCCTCCCGGGTAAGGACATAGTCGTCCAGGATGTGATGCTCTGAATGGACGATGGTACCATCTTCCTCGCAAAAAAACGACAAAACAATCTAAATAGTAATGTGATTTATTGTTTTGTGATCTGGGCATGGCATGAGCACCTGTCCTTCACCTCAAATTGTCCGGCAGGCAACCCAGAAACATCCCCAGAAGAGTCCCCAGAAGGCGCGGCTGGGGGAGGATCTGGAGCCTCCACCTGTGACTCTGGAATCTCAGCACCAAGGACCTTGGTCTGACTCCCTTCCTGAGGGGCCTTAGTTCCAGCATAGGCTTTTCGCCTTTCATCAGCTGTTGTCTCTGGTGATATTTCCGGTTGTGGGGGCGGAGTTGGTGTAGGCATAGAAGTGACCAAAAGCGGTTGGGTTTCAAATTCATCAGCGCCATAAGGTAAGGAATCCACCACTTCTTGCACACTCGGGGCATTTCCTGGTCAGAAGCGCATAGGTACGTTTACGTTTGGAAACATGCCTTGATGTTGCAAGCTTGGTAGGAAAAGTCTGAAAGCCTCCTTCAGTGGGTGTGACCACCGGCTTAGCGGCAAGATTTTCCTGCTCGACCTCAACCTTTTTCTGGCGAATCCTAGGTCAGATTCATTGGGTGTGATTTTCCAACGTCCTTTTTGGTGTGTGCGGTATAAGGTCCCAACTGTGTCAACTTGGCCTTGGCCGCCTCCAACCTTTGTTCCAGCTCCTGCTTCGAAAGACCTGACCAAGCTGGCCGACCCCCAAAAAAAGATTCTTGCACACCGCTAAAACCACACCTCCACTTGGCGCAGGCTCCGCTGTTGGAGAAACCGTTGATGAAGAAGCCAGTTCTGGAGCCACTGCGGGCAGCGGCGGCATAGCTTCGGCGTTGGCCGGGGGGGCCACAGGAGTTTCAGGATGAAGTGGTTTGGACTCATTGGCTTCTTTTTCGGGATCCTCTTTAGGTGGAACTGTTCCAACTGGTTGAAGACTCCCATCAACGAAAGGCTCAAACTTTTGGGTGGCGTCATCATAAGCATCCTCATCGGATTGTTCCTGAAGCAACAGTAGCGGTGTGTTTGGAATTGGCATCCCTCATGCATGGTGGGTATGAAAGGACGGCTTTGAAAAGGTCCTCATCCACAAAGCTTCCACGTTGATGCCGGGCGTTGACATCATTAATGATCTCCTGCACACTAGTATAACAGTATGCAACACATGAAGCCGTTGATGAATCTCCTCTAGATGCGGCGCCAGAAGTAGGATCAAGTGCTGGAACTTTGGATCCTTTGTTCTTGCAAAAGAAAACCCACAGGTGGAGGAAAATGCAACAAGGCATCCTAGAAAAAAGGAAAAGGATCCTATGTTTCAGGATCAAGCTTCCAGGCTCACTTCACACCTTCTAGCTTTCATCTTCACAAAGCCACAAAGTTTGCGCATTACCCAGCAGTTCGCTCCAATGTCACTTGAAGAGCGATTCTGCTTGTTCTTCTGGTAGAGCGTGCTGATTTCATGGCGAAGTGGGTCCACTTCTGGAAGCTTGAGCTTTTCACCAGAACCAAGCATGCGCACCAAAAGCGGTTCAAGAACTTCAGCAATGCCAACTGCTGACTTGATGTCATCAGTCCCATGATCTTCGGGTACTAACATGGCACCATCCCTCAAGCGATCACGGATTGCAGGGACAGCATCCCAATCCATGTGAATGCCACCAACATCAGTGCGTTCACTAGGCAGCCCTAGGCTCTCGTCAGACATGGGGTGCTCGACTCTACTACCTTCGGGAAAAAGGTCACTTGCTTGAGCCCAAGGGTCTTGAAACAGGAACATCATGCCCCAACTTGCGCTCTCCAGGAGATCCAGCTGACTGAGGGCCCGAGCCATGTGGAAAAGCTGCGCCATGAGCGTTCCCAGTGGGAGTGACAAGAGAATCTGGTTCTACACCGCAGTACCAATTGCTAATGTACTCCATGATTCCTGTCACTGTCACTGAACTCTTTTCTGGATGTATTTAGATGGCTTGAATGCTGCAGAACAGGCATCCAACCATGATGCATCAGGAAACCCGAGGTTTCCAAGGAAACCCGAGGTTCGAAGCAACATCCATGGAGAACCCGAGGTTTCAGGATTCACCCGAAGATTTTTCAGGGTTTGGTCGCTTCAGGTATATACATATATGTGTGTTTTCTCAAGGCGTTTTTGCTTTTGTCCCATGGGGCCTGTGTTTATGTTTTCCATAAAAGGGGTGACTGTTCAAGTGGCAGGTAAATATACATTGCATACAATTAATGAAAATACACCTCTCTGGGAAATCTACTTTCCCAGAGATCCAGAGGACAGCTAAAAACATTAAAGCTTTCAAACAAAGCTTTTCAATATAGAAGTGATCAGTCCCAAAGATCTGGAGGTAAGTTTGTGAAAAACACTGTTATACTTCAAGAACCCTAAAGTTTATGCTTCTTACTCTGTTCCAACATGACACTTGCGGTCTACAGCGGATCGGATTGACACGTCCATTTTGCGTGGCAGGTACAGCACGGTCAGATTTCCACACCCGTTTAAATCTATAATACTTATAAAGCTTTCAGGTATGGAAATCTGACCGCAACTTAGGTGTCGACATGTTGCACGTAGGATTTTAAGGGGAAAGGGTTGGTGATGTTTTAGAAGTCAAGAAGCACAACTTTTGGCACCCCAGTGTATGTGTTTATACAAAGCTTTTTAATTATGAAACTATTTATTACCAGAGATCATTTCTTTTGAAATATATACACAGCTTCTATATATATATATATATAATCTTTAAACACATGATCATTCCGAAAGATCTAGGGGACAGCTTTTGAAATGCACGCTTTCATTTTATAGGCTTGAATATAGAAGCGATCAATCCAAGAAATCTAGGGAACAGCTTTTGGAATAAACACTTTAAATACAGAAGCGATTATTCTCAGAAACGAAAAGGTAAGCGTTAAAATAATTGCGTATATACATGGCTTTTCAAATATGGACATGATTATTCCCAGAGATGTAAAGGAGAGCTTTTGAGAAAAAAAACAAACGGCTCTCAAATATAGCTGTTTAATCGTTTAATGTAAAACAATTTCCAGAGATCAAGAGAAAAGTTCTTGAATTAGCAGCTCTTAAATAGTTTGTTGTAGAAGTTATCATTCCAGAGATCTAGAGAAAAACTTTTGACATAGAAGCTTTTATATAAAGCTTTCTTAATATAGAAATGACTATTCCAGATATTACTTGAACAAATCTATCTGTCTACTCAAAAGCAGTGTTTTGACCTAGTTGCCAGCACTCCCAGGGCAAGAACACACTGTACAGCATATGTTTTTATAGCATTTTGTCTTAAACTCACACTCCCAGCAACACCTGCTCTCTGGAATTAAATTAGACTTGAACAATTAGAACTGATAATTCAACAATAATTCAGTTATAATGAAAATTGTTTCTAAATTCAATTTTAACAAGCTGAAATTAGGTTTGAATGAGTTATATAAAGTGGATTTGAATTAACCATTTCAGATCTAAATTAGTATATTGAATTAGAACTGAATTAGAGATAAACCAGAATTGATTTAGGTATATATATATACACACACTATATACTATATACATTACTTTAAAGAGTCCATTTGTCATAGCAATTGGGCCAAAAAGCGCACTGCCACAACTGCCCGCTCTCCATAACAACCACTGGAACCCTCTGGCTTGGTTCCAGTGTCCCACCCCACGTGCAGCGAGTCTAACGTCTAAGGCACAAAGGCAAGGCCACGCAGCACGCCCAGGAGGAAGGCGTCCAAACCATAGCGAGTGCTTCCTTGCAGAGCACAGGCTCGATCTCAAAAGTAAAGGACCTAAATATATATATATATAATATATATATATATATGACCTAGCATTTTACAGGGGTCGCGCATGGTTACCTGTGGGTGGTTTAAGAAGCTTCCAGGAACATTGATGAGGGGGTCGGCCACACAAACCAGTTGCAGAACTGATCCAACCGATGTGGCGGAAACCCTGGGCACCCACCTCCAACCGACGTCAGCTTCGATCTCTCGGGCTTCGATGCCCGATGCCCGGTCCGAACGCTCCGTTCGTAGCGATGCTAGGAGCCCCCGTTTGTAGCTTCTTGTTCCTAATAGTAAGGCCAGGAGCCCCGTTCGTAGCGTCCTTGCTCCTGACACCCCTCCAATTTCAGGTCGCCCCTGGATTTTGACACGACCATATTTGAGCCAAAAGCAACAAATTGGGTGACGGGGCACCATAGCAAAGGCGGAAGACGTAGCTCTGGTCAATCTCGGGGTCCCCGGAGATGTGTGTCACCTCGATCTGTGGAAAGACCTGAGGGCTCTGCGATCGGATGTAGCGGGCAGGGGAAAACAAGCGGTTCGGTACCTCGTTCAACAAGCAACGCTTTGGTGGAAGACAAGGGGGATTGTGTGAATCTCTATATCTACCAGGATCATCCAATGGCATGCGTGTCCAATGGAGGCCCATATGTAGTGCAGGGTAGTCTATAGGTGACCCGGAACGGATGATCCAGGTACGGTATAGTCCAATCATTCCTTGCAATCATCTGTCCAAACCATTTCAAAAGGATCATCAACTACCCTACGAAACCATTGGTCTTACTCGCAATCCGTGACTGGCCTTTTGTTGGAGTGACCAGGTAGCACAGCAATCCAATTGGACGCCTTTCTTACTACGCCTGTTCTTTGTGGTTTCTCACCTTGCTACAACAAAATCTGCCAGTGTCTGCCTTGTCATAACAACAAACTGTCTTTGATCTTCTTTGGGAAAAACTCTGTAATGCAATGCTTTCCTGAAAAAGGACATGATGTGTGCCGTTTCCAGAGAGTCCAACAGACAGCCGTTGCGGTCGAAGAGCCCCTCGCTGTGGTACAGAGCCCCAAAAGCAGAATGGAAACGTCTATCATTAAAACAATCGGGATCCAGTTGTACCAACTCAGGTTCGGTACGACTGGACCCTCCTGGCACATACAGTGTCGAACACATCACCGTACCTGAGGAGGTACGACTGGATCTGGATCTCTAGGGAATGTAACTTACGACATCTTCTGACTGTGAAAGCCTGGTCTCCACAACCTGACACAGACCACTCGACCAGTCTCCAAGGGGCGCAGGACATCTTCTCCCGCAGCACAGCATTGTGGAGAACGTTGACTGGAAGCAGCGCAGCTTACGGCGTAAAGCAAAGAACATGCGGGTGAGATCTCTGAGGGCCCCTGGTTTGACAAGTTTCTGGGGTTCTTGGACGCTTTTTGTCAGGTATACAGGTATGCAGGTTTATTGGCTTGTGGATTCCAACCAGTAGTGCACACACAATTCAACCAAATTCTGGAAGACTTGGCAAAGTTGCATCAGGCGGTGTTGCCCAGTGTTCGAGGAATCAAACCAGGTTGAGCTAGCAACAGCAAAGCTCAAGAAGACGTCGTAACCTTCAAGAACTTACACACAAACACTCTGAAGTGCAGCATTAACTGATACTGTTGCCTACAAACCCTTTTTCAGCCAGTGTCATTTCAGAGCACCAGCCCGTTTTTCAAAATCCAACTGCAGCATCGGTCGGCGGGTGTTTCAAACCTTTTGAGCTACATCGTGTATATATATATAGAATCGATTCCTCTATGTTCAGCATGTCAATTCGACACTATGGATTGCTGGGGAGGTGCCATGACAGGCACCAACTGGTCATCATGGCACCTCCAACTCGACCGACCGAGTCACCTGACAAGACTCGTCTGACTCGTCACCTGTCTGACCCCAAGACCAAACAGTCTGCTTCACCAAAGGGTTTTAAGAAACATTGTTTTTTCCTTTGTGCCGCATCCATGGAAAGCCGATGGCTCTTGGAATGACACGACTATATGGCAGCATGATGAATCAGAACTGATTTGTCAGCTAATACATGCTAATATACCGACACAATTATGCTTTCATCCGCTAAAAATCCCACCCGATCAGGCTCTTCTCCCACTAAAAATCCCACCCACTTCAACCCAGCCGGGAACCATGATTTGTTCCTTCCATCGAGCAGCTGTTGGAGACGATCTCGGATAAGCTTCGTCCCATGGTATGGAGAAAGGTGATGTAGCCCTCCTGGAATGAAGACTAACGGATGAGACAGGTGAGTCTTTTGGACCGAAACATCAAGGGGGGGCCTGCGTGTATAGCGATGCCAGCCCCTAGTAGCGTCCTTGTTCCTAGTATAATATCATACAATATGTATAGTATCGGTAAGTCTCAATCTTGGAAACTGACCAAATGATTGGACGTCCATGAGAATGAGAAGGTGTGGAAATCTCGGACACGTAAATGTCTAAAAAAAATAAAGCAATAAACTAGTGCAAAAAGCCTCAAAAAGGGCACCCCTACTTGTTGGCATCTTGGTACAAGTACAGCAGAAATGACACTGTGTGCCCTCGATTGCTTGCTCTTATCAGCCACTGTAACTCCGCACAAGCACCGCATGTGCCTCTACAACGTGCTTCAGAAAGAATTGCCCTTGGCCAGGTCGACAAGCACACTGATTTGGGGTTGATTTAGTTCGTCCACGGCAAATTTCACTGATCCAAGGGATGGGTTGAGAGGCTTCACCACCGACCGTCGGGGTGAAAAGAAACACAAAGACCAAATCATGTCAGGAGCACGTTTCAATGCTGCTGCAGCACACACACAAACAGAAATCCACTGACAGTACCCATTCAGCTCTGGAGTAGCAAAACAGGATCTTCCTCCAACCCCCGCTGTGAGTGGCAAAAGAGTGGAACATTGATCTGGGGCATTTTTCTATTACAGTCACTGGTTTGAAGTGTCGGACAGAACAAAGTACAAGTTGACAAGCGGTTTCCCCACGCTGTTACCGGGTCCAAGCTGCAAAAGCCGAGAATGGTCACCTCTTGTCCGTGAAATTCCTCTTGTCCGTGGCATGTAAACAAACGTGTTAAACATTGTCACTGGGGTTCATCGCTGTGCGATCTTTGTGTTGACATACTGTCGGGCACTGTGAAACACTGCGTCTGATGCGCGAGATAAAGGAGACAGTGTTAACATGCTCCACTCAAGGAATACGCAGTGTGACAAGTGCTTGAAAGTCGTCTTCTAAAGTTCTTCAATCACGTCACATAACCTAGAAATGCCAAGAAGCCAAATCGTTCCAGCAAGTCAGGTGAAGGAATCTCCTGGCATTCACCTCATCAGAATGCTCAAGAACCACGTATGTTGTGGCTCTCAAGAAAGTGAAAACCCTCTCGACTGGATTACGCGCAAAGTCCGTGAAAAGGAACAAACAACGCGGAGAGATTGACGTTGTCGGTCCATTTCCACTTGCGCGTTCGCAACAAAATCATTTCAATCAGCGGTTCGCCCCTCCAGCACCCCCAGCTGGTCAGGTTATAATGGATGCACAGCCTCGACAGTGCTGTAAATAGCTAGCATCAAAGCGACCTGAAAAAAAACCTCAGAGGGAGCTAGTCACGCTGGGGCTCCCAAAAAAGGGCACTTTCAAGATCCGGATATATATATATATATAATGACATTTTAGATGTCCTTCAATGCCTCGTCTTCAAACAGAAACACCTGGTCAAAACGCTCAAAATCACCGATTCCACTCTGGAACAAACACCAGAGCGACAAGTGTATTCATTCTCACATTCTCACTCATCTGTGAGAAGAGTATGAACCTCAAATCAGATCCTTGGAACATCCAACGTACATCCGGTTTTCTCTCTCTTGGGGCCGAGCAAACCACGTTGAAGAGTGCCATCGTGACGCCTGGGCACCGCTCCGCTCCATGGGGGGTCCACGGTCCAAGTTGAATGATTGGCTCCGACCCAGCTTGTTAGATGTTTGTTCTCAAGGTGGAAGGTGGATGGCTTGTTCTCAAGGTGGAAGTTTAACTGCTAGAGCTTGTTAGATGTTTTATTGAGAAACACCTGGGATGTTTTCCAATGAGCCGCACACCGATGAAACAAACACCATCAAGGAGTTCAAGAATGGTGAGCAGAAACTCAGGGTTGAAATCCGAATAATTCTAGAACTGAACTTCTAGACATTCTTGAAATCCTTATTCATGAAATTCTAGAATGAAGAAGGTTCAAACCCATTTCTAGACCCTTCTTCCTTCGATCCAACGACTCAGTAGAAGTGGGTTTTTGAAGAAAAAGGAGACCTCCCACAACTGGGCGCTCAGAGTGGAGACCGAAACGGGTGGTTTCGTGGCACAAGAAAACACTGAGAGGCCACTGTTGTATGGAGAGAGTATAGTCTTCCAAGGGTCTGAGAAATGGTCAAAACAGCATGCAGTGTTTACTGAGTGTACTCTCTTTTGATTGGTAGAAGTAAGAAACAATTGAACATGTCCCGTCTTTTTTGGAATTTGGGATTTGTGCCACCTCTGAATCGATCTGGCCAGAAGTCGGACACCTCTGGGAAATGTTCGCTGGTTTCTCCCAGATCTGCGGATTTCGCTTTGGGTCCGATCTTTTGGACAAACCAAAAGAGACGGTCATCAGAGTCATCACCACCCAAGAAGGGAGGTCGGCAGTCCTCCAGTCCAACAAAAAATACCGTAACCTCCGATCCCCAGACGTTTGGAAGACCCGGGGGCACGGCGAGCAAACGCGACCCCTCCGCGATGCGTTCGACCCCTCCGCTCGTCGCGTTGGTCGCGTTCGACGCGGTTCGGGTGCTCCCGGCTATCGGAGTGTCCAATCTGCCCCAGCAAGCCGCCTTCAGCGAGCTTGGCCTGCAGCGGTCCACGGGGCGGGTTCCCGCCGGTCACGGAAATGGAGTCCCAAACACCAAAGGCACAACCAACACCATTGAAATGGTATAGTGCATGAATAAGGATGATGGTAGAGGCCTGGTGATTTGCGGGTACAAAGCTCAAGGACTTCTGAACAATGGGTTTAATCCTGTCTGTCCACCTATTAGAAAACACGGGGTCCCCCCCAATTAAGAGAAACTCGGTCACATTTTCTTAAATAGGGGATCCCTGAAATCGGGGGGTCCAAAATAGGGTCACCTGGGAAGAGTTTCAAAACCAAAAAGTCAGTCATCCAGGATTTGCTTATATAAAGTCCTTTATTAAATTCGTATCCAAAAATCAAAAGAAAAACTCCAGATCGAAGGGTCTTCATTTTCCCCTACAAAGACGTTTAATAGAATACTGATTCTTCATTAGACTAACAACTAAAGCTTTCGATAAGTGATGTCGCTTGTTGTTGGAACCTAATATATTAAAAACTACCCCCAAATCGACCATGTTGGTAGTTTAGTAGCGGTTTGAAAGTTCACGCTGTGCACTTGAGTCTCGGCAGTTCGAACTGTTTTCGACCTTCACCTACCGATGTTCCCTCTCAAGACTGGGAGGGCAGTTGCCTTGGGAAAAGGCGCGGCCGCGGCGCTTCAGTGTTTTTCGTGCTCGCGGACTTCGGGTGCCGCTGCTACCGTTTTCGCATTGGTAGCGGAGCCTCCTCCGGGGGGCTCCGAGTCCTTTGCGCGAAGAAGAACGAGGTTCTGCATAAGGCCTTTGTCACGAACCCTTGGCCGAGCTCTTTTGTTTCCTCGTGGAAGAGCGCTATCGGTCTTGGCTACTTGTTAGAGAATGCCACCAACGACATCGGTTGCAGAAGGTACCAAGGATGGTGACTACCTCAACCTGCGCGACTCCTTCGTTCCACTTTTCAGTGGCCAACCCCAGGACTACAAAGAGTATAGAAAGAGGCTGATGCTCTACCACCACAAGATGAAGATCAGCAAGCGCACAGCCGAATCTGTCCTGAACATCCTGGGGAGCTTCCAGGGTGTGGTTTGGCGGTTGTTTGAGGACTTCTCAGTCGAAGAAGCTGAGAAGGAGGATGGCTTTGGCAAGATCATCACCAAGCTCGAGAAGAACTTCGAGTATGATGATCGAGTGCTCCTTCCGAACGACTTTGAGGAGTACTTCAACTTGTTGCAACGAAAGCCTCAACAAAGCCTCCTGTCGTTTGTCACGGACCACGACACCGCCTACCGTCGTTTGACCGCTCACAACGTGACCCTTCCTGGTCAGGTTCAAGGATGGCATCTACTCCGACGTGCTGCTTTGTCAAAGGAGCAACGCCAGATGGTGACACTGAAAGCTCCTACGTTGGAAAAGACCCCAGTCATCGAAGCCCTGTACTTGCTGTTCGGTCAGGACTACAAAGCTGGTGGCTGGAACGCCGAACGTGATCGCAAGTTCAACCGCTGGAAGGGCCGCGGCTATGCTGCCTTCGATGACGAAGATGCCTACTGGTCCGCGCAACCCTGGCCTGAAGAGGCCTACTATGAGGCCGACGACTGGTATGATGACACCGCCCCTGACGATGAGGCTGACTTCGACTATGACGCCATCTACTACGGCGAAGAGGACGACCCGGGAATGACCCCCCCGAAGATCCTCAAGAGTTGGCAGAAGAGTATATGACCACGCCTATGCCACCTACTTGGATGCACGGCAAAGATTCCAGCAGCTCAAGTTGGCCCGTGGCTACCTGCCGATTGTCGCCCTCACTGATGGCCAGAACACCTCAGCTGCCTCTGGATCCTCTTCACCTTCGAAGGGAGCTGGCAAGAACAAAGGAAAGGGCAAGAACAAAAGCAAAGGAAAGGGAAAGAATGTGGTGCGCTACCCATCTTCCTCCGGTGGCAAGTCAGATCCAAAAGGTCGTGCAAAGTCAACTACATGTCTTCGGTGTGGCCAACCAGCTGTCTCATTGGGCAGCTCAATGTCAACAAAGTGCGAAGCCTCCAGTCTCGCCCAACAAGAGACCCGCACCTACAGAAGGCATGGCCTTGCAGAATGAGACCGCCTTGGTCCTGTTCCAGGATGGGCACAGATCGACCTGACGCCACCATGTTGGACCCAGGTGCATCGGCTTTCCTGTGCGGCTATGGTCCCTTTGGCCGCTACTTGAGTCAGCTCCACTCCATGAACTACCCCATCAACACCATCCGCTTTGCTCGATGCGATCGCCAGTTCCGTTTTGGCGGCGATGCTTCCTCAAGAGCATCATGGACAGTGGATCTTCCTGTGATGATCGACGGCCAGTTCGGCACGATCCAATGCTATTTGGTCCCTGGGCCGGCCTGTGATTGAGGCCTTGCATATGGGCATCGACTTCAGCCAGAAGCGCATTCGCTTTGGTCGCTCTCCCTGGACCTCAGTGCTTGTGGGAAGCCATGGCGAATACTTGCTGAGCCTCACCACTGGCATGGAAGAAGTACCTGACCCCACAAAAGCCCTGTTCAGCCTTCGCATTGCTGAGGAAACTCCGGGCAGCCATCTCCACTTCGAGGACTTCAACAAGCTCGAACATGTGTTCCAAGCTGAGGATCTGCCTCGGCGCTTGCGCCGACATGCACTTCGAACCATGGAGACTCAGCTGGTCACGACCTCCAATTCCACCGAAGCCTACATCACTCAGGAGCTTCACAATCCTCCTGATCATCGACGAGTCCTATGGGAGATCTATTGTGGCAAAGCTCGCACAGGCCACATCGCAGAGGAGCTTGGCATGAAGGTGGAAAGGGTTTCTTTGGACAATGGCTGGGACTTTAACCTCCTCAGCCATCAACAACAGCTACTCCAACGACTTGATGAAGAAGAACCTGATGAAGTGCTGGTGGCACCAGAATGCCGCCTATGGTCAAGAATGCAAACCCTGGCTTGCCGCACTCCTGCACAGCAAGAAGCATTGAAAGCCCGACGTGATCACCACCATCGTCGTCATCTTTGCTTTGCCAAGCGCATCTACCTACGACAGGTGACCAATGCACGGCATGCTCACTTGGAGCAGCCCCGACATGCACTGAGCTGGGACACCACGGCTCTTCGAGATCTTCCTGGCTACTACGCCGACTTTGACCAATGCCGCTATGGAGCAATGCGCATGGACACCGACGGCATCTGGCGACCTGTCCAAAAGAGCACTCGCCTGCTGACAACGAAGCAGGTTGTTCTCGAAGCCTTTCAGTTGAAGTGTGACCACGATCACCACCACTGCCCCTTGGAAGGCTCTGCTCCTGGCTATGGACGCTGGACCACCTACTTGGAAGACTACCAACCTGGCTTTGCAGCAACTTTGGCTGCAGCACTGGCTCGTCCCGAAGCCGCTCAACTGTGGGACACCGCCTATGTGGTCGATGAAACTGGCAAGAAGGAGACTGGACATCTCCTCAAGCTCAAATCTGAGCACCGTCAAGATGCTCTACGAACAGTGCAACGGCTTCACCGGAACCTGGGCCACCCGTCGCCTGACGCTCTGGCTGACTTGTTGACCGCCAGAGGAGCTCACCCTACGGTGATCGCGGCTGCTAAGGAGTACAAGTGTGTGGCATGTCTGAAGCACAAGAAGCCTAATCAGGTTGCTCCATCATCCATGCCACGGCCGAAGACCCTCAATGAGGTGATTCAGGCTGACGTCTTCTACCTCTCAAGCCAGCCGATCGCAAGTTTGCAGTGTTGAGCATAGTTGATGTTGGCACCAAGTTCATGGCAGCCTACCTGCTGCATGAGGAGACCTCCAAGTCCTACATCACCGCCCTGGAAAAGATGTGGGTCCGCCATTTGGGCCCTCCTAAGAGGCTGATCTCCGACGAAGGCCGACCTTGGCTTGGTGCACCTTTCGAATCCTGGACAAGCTCTTTGGGCATTGACCACCAAGTAGCACCAGGAGAAGCTCATGAGCGCCTTTCTCTGGTCGAGCGCCGTCATGCAGTGCTGCGCCGTGCCTGTGAGGTCTACATGGATGACCGCAAGCTCAATGACGCTGCTGGTATCAAGGAAGCCCTTTGTTATGTGATCCCGCAGCAGAATGCAACTCCATCTGTTGCCGGCTTCTCTCCCAGTCAATGGGCACTTGGCTTCCAACCCGAGATGTCGCACCTCCTGGACTACAACCTCAATGCAGCACAACTGGCCAGCAACAACAGCACCTTCGAGGAGAACCTCGAGCGTCGCACATCTGCAAAGATGGCCCTGGCATCAGCCGATGCCGACTCCAAGCTGCGACGTGCTCTCAGCCGCAAGTACCAATTAGGCCAGAATCGAGTTTTTCAGTTGGGAGAACGAGTATGGTTTTGGCGTGACGCTCGCCAAGGAGCCTTGAGCAAGATTCGATGGCTTGGCCCTGTACATGTGGTTCTTCGTGAAGAAGATGCTGAAGCTGACACTGCAGCTCCGAAGGTTAAGACCTACTGGCTTGCCTACAAGACCCAGTTGATCCGTGCTGCACCTCACCACGTCCGTGCCGACATCCTTGGCCATCAGCACGTGCTGGAAGACCTGCAGTCAGCCCTCAACAAAGTGAGACAGTTGAAATCTCGTGGAGTCACCCGATTCTACGACTTGAGACGGGTGAATCGTCAACAGCTGGATGATGTCGAAGAAGACGAACAACACACCGAGCCTGATGGGCCCTTGCAGGATGATGATGATGATGATGATGAACCACCCAGGCACCGCTTTCGCCTGGAGCCACCAGTGCCGACATCAGAGGCTACCCCACACATCATCGTGCCCGATGATGAGTATGAACCTACATCACCTGCACACTCCAGCTTCGCCCCGACATCACCCAGGGCACCACCAACACCAGTGGCGACAGAACCAAACATGCTGCTACCAATGGCCCCAGCCGAAATCGCTGTACCAGGCTCACCAGCCACCACTCGGTCTCGCTCACGAGCACCTACTGTGGTTGAGCCCAGCGAAGAACCAAC